AGAGTTGGGGGAAGGAGGCTTATAAATAAAGCCATTTGAGAGCAGGAAAAACGAACACCATGGCTCTGGTGTGCCTGGAATTTGCGGTTGAGTAATCCTTTCCTGTTTCTTTTTTGGGTTGTTTTTCATCTTTCAGAACAGTGCCTGAAGCAGGTCCACCATGCCGTTAGTAACGAGGAACATTGAGCCAAGGCACCTGTGCCGTCAGACGTTGCCTAGCGTTCCAAGCGAGCTGGAATGCATGACCAACATCACCCTGGCAAATGTCATTCGACAGCTGGGCAGCCTGAGTGAGTACCATGGCGAGCCTGCGCGTTGCCCTCAGGAGTCGCTAGTGCTCTTTATTTAGCTCCCTTTCTACTCTCATGTTCCTATTTCTCCCCCATCTGCCTTCCCTGGGTAATGCTAAAATGTTTTCCTAAAGAAATCTGATGCTAATTTCATATCCCTGGTCCCACTGCCTTCCTATCAAAGAGAAAATGGGGAGGGGGGTGGTGGTGGTGAGGGAGGGGGGTTGGTGTGAGAGGCTGCAGCGAAACTGCAGATGGAAGGATGGAGCACAACTCAGGCTTGTAAAATGGGAGGCTCTCCCAGCAGCCAGGATCTTGTGTCAGAGAATGTGTCTGTAATTGCACAAGCTACTAAATGGAGCTTGACTGTGTTGAATCTACACTGTGTCAGTAGTCTTATTTTTAATGAAAGGTAATTAAAGCCTGCACGCAGGAGCCGCCTCTTTGCCCCTGCTGTTTGTTGCGTTGCAAGACTCAAAGTCCCCAGTCTGAGCCAGGCGTTGCCTCTGGAGAGTACTGGGGGTTTGGGGCTGCTTGCTTTGACAGCACAACAAGCTGAAGTGATGCCTAGCTCAGGTCTCCAGTGGGCTGACCAACAGCCTTGTGAGGGCTGGAGGGAAAATGGGGGCCTATGTGCCCTAGGAGAAACGAAGAGTCAATTGTGGTCTCTCTGGGATGACTCCTTACTTTGTTGAAACACTCTGGGTTCTGATGAGCCACCTCTGCCCTTGAAGCAAGACTTTGATAAGCAAATGAATACGTTGCTCAGCTTCTCCTTCTTCTGCTGGCTCTGCAAAGCAAGCCCCTCGAATGTGGCAGGGAAAGTTTGGGACCAGTCTCTTTTTCCAGCAGGAAAAACCAAGGCTGTCACTAAAATCTGGGCCTGTGTTTGCTGCCAGTCAGTATCACATTCTGTTGGGTTGCAGAAATGTCACTGTGCAGGCAAGACCAGTCTCTGCTGATGTTCAACTGGCCCTTGGTGTTTGTTTGTTAGGTCTTGTAGCCAGAGTGGTTGTGGAGGGTGAGGAAAATCCATCTCCTGCATGTGAAATGATGAGGAAGGAGGCAGGAAAGCTGTGCAGATCTTGGCTGCAGAGAAAGCTAATCCCAGTCCAAAGGCGTGCAGTGGGTTGGTGTGACAGAGCCATGCTGAGATCCTTCAGGTTTAGACCTTCTTTGAGCAGCTCAAGATATTCAAAGCTTCTCTGCTTCTGCCTTGTTAGGGAGGATGAAGTGTTTGGGAGCCAAATTGCAGTCTGGTTTATTTCTTGGGAAGGTTCCCTGGGAGAGAGGGCGGGGAGGGAGTTGCTTGCTGCTGGACCAATGGCAGATACCTCGAGGGGATACTTGAGAGAGGTGGGTGGCTCTTGCTGACACTTCTGTGCTTGTCTGCAAGAGGAGAATGAGGCAGGTAGGGAAGAAACACTGAGCCCCATCTCTTACCTACTTCTCCAGGGCTAGCAGTATTTTAAATGGAATATTTCAAATTAATAAAAGTCCAGAGGAGGCCATGAAGATGATGGGAGGAGGGCTGGAGCAGCTCTGCTCTGGAAACAGGCTGAGAGAGTTGGGGTGTTCAGCCTGGAGAAGAGAAGGCTCCAGGGAGACCTTAGAGCACCTTCCAGTGCCTGAAGGGGCTCCAGGAAAGCTGGGGAGGGGCCTGGGACAAGGGCAGGGAGGGAGAGGACAAGGGGCATGGATTAAAACTGGCAAGAGGGGAGATTGAGGTTGGACATGAGGAGGAAATTCTTGGGTGTGAGGGTGGTGAGAGCCTGGCCCAGGTTGCCCAGGGAAGCTGTGGCTGCCCCATCCCTGGCAGTGTTGAAAGGCAGGTTGGATGGTGCTTGGAGCAACCTGGGCTGGTGGGAGGTGTCCCTGCCCATGCAGGGGGTGGGACTGGATGATCTTTAAGGTCCTTTCCAACCCAAACAATTCCATGATGCTCTGAAATTTTAATACTTTAAATGAAAGATTTCAAAAATGGAAATATTTGCAAACGAAATATTCAGACCAACTACTACAGAACACTGGCACCCAAATGACCAAACTCCTCTCCCCCCCCTTCTAAACTCTCTTACTTCTAAAAAAATAAATCCACCCCTTCCTTATACGCTGAGTATGAGTGGAACGTAAAGCAGGTTCAGTAGGCTGTGACAGCCCTGTCAAGTGAATAATCAGCCATGCCTAGTGCACCACAGTCTCTTTACAAAGATGCAAACATAAATCTTGTCAAACTTTCATATTCCAGTGAGTTTACCCTTCGTTACTATCACAGCTGGGAGCGCTTTGTATAAGTCGACACCGCGTTTCTGTGTGATTTTATAGAATCCCACCAGCTAAAGATGGAAAGACCTATTAAATCGCGCCGTCTGTCTTCCTGCCAGTGCATGACAAAGATAATTTTGATTGTAAGCTGCACTTTTGCAGTCAAAGTAACTAAAGCAAAAACTGAATCTCTGCCTTTACCCCATCGAAAAGTGTGCGTGAAACACAGAACAGGGCGTGAGATGCTGGGTGATAACTGTGTTGAGGTGGATTTAGGCAAGGGAATATCAAAGAATCATGGAATGGTTTGGGTTGGAA